AATACCGTAGCGCGCTACGTGCGTTCCGTTCCAATAATCTACAGGCCACCGGAGAACCGAAAGATTTCCTGGGGCCTGAACGGCCTCGTCGAAATCATCTCCGGCCACTGCAGCGGAACCTGAGGCCGGTAGAAGATTTACGACATCACAGTTCTGCGGGGTCAATTTCAGTATGTGAGCCGTACAGTGCCACAACTTGCACGTCACAAACTGCAGACAGGTGTCGTTGTGGTTTCTTGATGTTTTCCACAATCGCCGATTTACCGTTTCGCCCAGGCACTGTTATTAGTTTCATCCTTTCCCCTAATAATAAACGTCCCCCCCCAAGGTATATACTCCCGCCCGTATTTTATATTAGGGGAGTGCATTTATCGTACAACCTGAACATTAGGGAGGTGATTGAAATCTTATTACACTCATACAAATTTCGGTAAAAAATCTCATGAAGGGCCTTATTAAAGACTATTTCTAGTTAGGGCCTATTATGGACTATTGCAAATTATGGCCTGGGGACTATTTCTAACTAGTTGAAATAGGGCCTTATCAGGGACTATTTCAAATTAGGGCCTTCTCACGGAATATTTCTAATTAGGGCCGTATCAGGGACTAGTTGCAGTTAGGGCCTTATTCGTGACTATTTGCGATTAGGGCCTTATTAGGGACTATTTGCGACTAGGGCCTTATTAGGGACTATTTGCAATTAGGGTCTTCCTAGAGACCTCTTGAAATTAGGGAGTTATCAAAGACAATTTGCGATCTGGGCCTTATCAGGGACTTTTGCCATTAGGGCCTTATTACGGGCTATTTGCAATTAGGGCCTTATTAGGGGCTATTTGCGATTAGGGCCTTATAGGGACTATTTGCAATTTGGGCCTTATCAACGACTATTTGAAATTGGGGCCTCATCAGGGACTACTTGAAGCTAAGGCCTTGTTAAGGACTATTTCAATTTAGCGCCTTATCAGGGGCTATCGCAAAATCAGGCCTAGGGACATTAGTTGGAACAGGGCCGTATCAGTGGTTATCTCAAACTAGGGCCTTATCAGGGACTATTTCAAATTAGGGCCTTATTAGGAACTATTTGCAGTTAGGGCCTTATTAGGGACTGTTTGCAGTTAGGGCGCTATTAGGGACTGTTTGCAATTAGGGCCTTGTAGTTAGGAAATCCCTAATCCTGAAGACTGCTGCTGAAAACAACCCCTTAATTGAGAGGATCCCAGCCGCAATTAACTTTTTTTGCCCTTTTGAAAAAAGTGTTGTGGGCAGAATTCAGGATTCGGACCTTTGGCGAACCCGTATTTAATGTTGGGGGACAGGGATCGAAAACATTCAAAAACCTTGACGCCAAACACATGTTGCACTTGTCTGACGGTGAGAAAACCAAGAAAACCGCAAAAAACCAACAACAAATTCATGTCTCACACGAACAAATCTCCCATCTTGTAAAGGACTGCAAAACTTGCACTGATGACCTGTAAGCTTCTGTCCTGGGGGCCCGGCTTGCAAATAGCAACAGCGCAGTGCCTGATCCCAAGAATGCTGTTTGACTGGCCCCAGTACCTCTACCCAGAATGGCAAGCTACGCCCGTGCTATGGCTAGGAGGACACCTTCTGGCAAAACCATTGAGATTTATTGTTTTGTTGCTGTTGCTGTCCTTGTACGTGCTACTGATGATGCTGTCGCTCCTCGGCAAAACCGTAGCCGTATGTTGAAGCATGCTGGGCCAAGGGCAGATCTGCAGCGCACGTCTGCTTTGATGTGTTGCAAGGGGCGGAGCCATTGCAAAACAAACACCAGGCAACAAACAAAAAATGTTCATGACGCGCAGATGTAACAAAGCCACAAAACAAACTGGATACATGGATTGCCGTTGTGGAACCTACAATGAGTTGTCCACAGGGCTCGCTTGCCTGCGACCTAAAACGTTTAGTCCCCGTCTCGAATCTTACCTTTCGGGCTGACTGACATTTGTTATGCAAGGCGTTGGCTGAGGAGATGTGTGGGTTCGGGCGTTCCGCCGTCCACCTACTCTGCCTCTGCCAGCTTCATTGGCTGCGGCAATGCAGGCACTGTTGCTACCTGCGTTTCAAACGTAACAAGGCACCCGTGAACCCTTGCGTTCGGCACGTCTAAGCTTAGGTCTGGCAAGCGGATGCCAAACACAAATCGCAATCTCCGGCTTTGGGTAATCGGGAAACATGCTAACACATCCTTGTGTCTTGTGCTGGTCTTGCTGTCTCGGTTATTGGGGCGCGGAACCCGACATCCCCGTGTTTCGGCACACTCCCATCTCCATCATTCTCCATCATCAAAATCGTGTCCTTGCCAAGGCCATACATTTTTTGTTTTTTTTCTCGCACCTTTTTGCGCCTGCGTCATGAGCGACGGTCGGGTGCACATTCGGGAATGCTGCAGCGTGGGTCCAGCCTGCTCAGCGGGGCCCTAGC